TCTGCTGTAAACACACACTAACCTGTAAGTGACAGGTGCTTCTGTGGCACACGAGGAGTATTCAAGAACATCTGAGCGGGTTTAGTTTGGCTCAGATTGCATAGTTTTGCTGTGCTGTGCAGCGAGTAATAAAGGCCTTTATACCAACACGAAGCAGCCGGCGGGTCGAGGTCCGTTTCGTCGGGTCGAGGACGTTTCCGCGGTCGAGACGTTTCCCGGCGGGGAAAGGTGACTAACCTCCGGCGGGGACGGCAGAAGCTGCCTCAGCATCTAAAGATCACTTCACTGATTCATCAGGGAGAATTCAGAGAGTCTTCAACAGGTTTGAGGTCGCAAAGAGAAAGAAACTTTACTCTGTGTTTAAAAGGAGGTGTAGAAAAGCCGCTCTGTCATATTTAATATTGACCCACTGCCAATAAACAAGGACAAAGAACATCAATAGTTATCTATAACTCTGTAGCTCTTTTAATCAGAGCGGGACACGATTACTTTTATGAAACAGAGGGTTAAACGACGGCCTGTAATTAACGCAGCCTTTGACCTCGTGTGGCGTTTATTCTTTACGGGATGTAATTATTCTGTGTGTTTAAACAAAAACAAACAGAAGGACAATACATGGATGCACCAAAACATCCGCTCCGACTGATTTAACGAGACCGTGTTGTTTAACCGGCTCCAGTTTTATCACCGGGACCTCAACGCATCACAAACTAACTCCTGTTGCTCTTCAAACATTCACTAATCGTGGAAAACACCTACAACTTCGAGGGTTTCCATTTCCAAAGCCCCTCTGGATACACCGCTTTCACTTTCATTACCAACAACAACTCACTATTAATCATCACATGAAGTAAACAGTGTAAAAGCACTGGTAACTCACTTATAACGGACTGTTCATTGATTAACGTGGACGTGAATGAGAAATCAAAGTCTTCTCCGACAGTAAAACAGCTGCAATAAGGTTTTATAAATGATTTATGGCCTCAATGTGTCATTTTATGATTAAAGATCTATTTCAACAAGTCTTCTCCGTGAGATCCTCTTTCACCTTTATATTGTAACAGCGATTATCTGAAGACAGAAGCAGTAATATTCACAGTTTATACATAAATATTCAGCTTTTAGAGAAGAGAAGTGTAGATTTAGTTGTAGAATAAGCAGAAAGGGTGTTTTCTGTTTCTGTTACTGTCTCGACCTGCTCCGCCGCCTCCTTTGACCTTAAACGCAACGCCGGCTGCGTTCCTGCGTCTGGATCACGCAACGCGACACGAACACACTTCCTGTTAATGTGAGGAGGAGATTCAGGTCAAAGGTCTAAAGTCAACACGAGAACGGATCATAAAACCCCCGCTGTTCCTCGCCACGTTGTTAATAATCAACCCGACCCGGCACAGGTCAGTGAGCCCGTTAACTCTGCTGACCACACACACACACACACACACACACACACACACTGACATCACGACATAAAAACACCACAGAAAACCTCCAGCGCCCAAAACTCAAGGTTTCTCCTTCCAGTTTTACATCACAACGGTGGCGTTCACTTGTTCTCGCTCTGCAGATAAACTCTGAGGAGGAAGCGGCGCCCTCTGGTCGGACCGTATCTCTCCCCCTCCCTGGAGTTTGACCCGTGTAATGTGACTGTAATGTACGTTACTCGATGAATCCCACATCCCTGCTGCCTTCAGGAGAAAAAGCACCAGATAAGTTTACGTCTCCGTGTATCAGGACACTTTTACTTACATTTTCACGTGCCGCTGCTCCACGTCGACCCTGGCGAGCTCCTCCTCCTCCAGGTCCGAGTCTCCTCCAGAGCTACTCTCCGTTACATCGGAGTCGAAGGCGCTTTCTACTGAATGCAGGTTGGCAGAGCCGCTCAGATACAGCCTCTCCAGCTCCAGGGGCATGGCGCCGCCCTTCAGGAAGCGGCTCAGGCTGTCTCTGTTGTTTGAGGAAGAGTGGCGTCCGGTCCTCCACGTAGCTGTCGGGGTCGCCGTCTCCGACTTGCGGTTCCCGGCGAGCAGTCGGTTGAGAGCCGAGTCCAAGAAGCCGCCGAGCTGCTGCTGAATGTGCCGCTCCACCTGCTTGGCCTGCACCACCTGGAGACGCTTGCGCAGGCGCCGCAGCCGGCTCTCGATCTCGGCTTGGCGGCTGCTGTTGAGGAGCGTGCGCTCTCTGACGTGAGTGTCGAGGCTGTCGGAGGAGGAGCTGCAGGGCAGAGGGGAGCAGGACGGCGAGCCCTGCTGGCTGCCGCCCGCTCGCTCCCTGTCCGACCCCGGAGGCTGCCCGGTCGGCGTGCGTGGATCCATCCGCCTCCTCCAGGTCTGCGGTTCAGTCGGGTCCGCCGTGGGGGAAGGGGGACGATCCGGCAGACTGAAGCACCGGCAGTTTCGAGTTTCCCCCCGTCTGTGTTCTGAGAAACGCCCGAGGAATGCTTCTGTTTAACGGCTTCCTTTCAGCGGGAGGTGCCCCGACAAAGTGCCGTTTTCAAGAGTGTCCCGAGTCCAGCGGCCGGTTCTGGGTCTGAGCGTCTGTGGCGCGGAGGCTCTGTCCCCGTTTCACCGCCACCACGCAGCCCGGGCCGGTACATCGTGGCCAGCTTCTTGGCCAGGCCGTTGACGGCGCCATGGGCGCCCCTCCGTTGGTGCTGCTCATGAGGCTTTTGAGGTGACCGCCAGACAGTTCGATCGCCTGCCGCTTCCTCAGCAGGAAGTCCCCGCCGCCGTTGAGCAGGGCGCCGGGCAGTATCCTGTGGCTCTTCAGCACCGACTGTTTGATGAGGACTCCTTGCAGCTTGATTGACTCCTTAGTTGAGGGGACAGGTGTCACATCAGAGCACAGGTACGAAGCCACCAGCGGCTGGAGCTTGCCGAGGGCCGAGGCCTGAGCCACGGAGTCGGCTTGGGGCTGCTGCTGCTGCTGTTCCTGCTCGCCGCCACAGAAGTCGAGGGGGCGCTCTTCGGAGGCGGGCTTGCACTTGGCGGGGCCGCTGCTGTGGATGAGGATGTTGCTGGCGTTACCGTTGTTCTCTGCACTGGCCGGTGAGAGGCTCGAGGATGGGGCAGCCAGTTTGAAGCGGATGTGGTGAGCTTCGGCTGGGGCGTCGGTGAGAGCGGGCGCCATCGCAGCCATGCAGTGCAGAGGGACGGGCACCGCGGCCTGCTCCACACCACCCGCTTACTGCCCCGCCTGAGGACAGCCTGACAGCAGAGAGCAGAACACAGATGAGTCCAATGAACAACAAACACACATAAATATTATTACGTGAACTCGTCTGAACAGGTTTGGGCCGTAAAGTACGACAGCTCGGTCTCGCAGTGCTTTACGACCACGTGGAGTTTTATTAAAGTACATTTTTACAGATTCATTCAGTCTTAAAGTGTTTGTTGGATGTAAAGCGACAGGACATAAACACAGCTGAAGCACCTGCACTACAGGTTCTGTAGGAGTGAGTGGAAAATTACCAACCGCCTCCCAGAAAGAAAGAAACATTCACAAAAAAACACACGAAAACGCACAAATATGACGGTTTAACATCTCACCTGCTCAGAAACACACACCTGCAATAATGTGGTTTAAGGATGAAATGAAATCAACTGGTGACTCACTGACATTTTGTTGACCTACTGGTTCAAAGCGTTGCTAAGAACGATCCTACATAAAGCAACCAGGAAGAAACACTCCAGGTGAAGAGGAGGAGAGAAAAAAACCCCAGAAAATGTAATCTGATTCTTCTGTAATCCCAATAAAGCGTGTATCTAGACGTCCCGCCTCTGTGTGCGACCTAAAGTGAAGAATAACTGACGATATGCACTGACCTTGGTGAATGGGATGCTAACCGTATAGATGAAACAACAGCGGACATCTGAGCTACACGCCGGGCCGATAAATAATTCCCACTACACCCATGCTTCTGTGAACAAGCCCTCATTGTCGTTGACTCACAAGGCTCCTCTTTAGAGAAATAAGCGCTAGGAATTCAATTCTTATAATTGAAAAAAACAAAGAAAAGCCGACGCAAACTGCCCAGAAACCCCACTGCCCTACATGTGCCCTGTAAGCACACAGGCGGTGTAAGTAGGTGGATTTAGGCCCAGCATTAGTCCAAAGCACATGATGTCATCCAGACTGTGTCCACTTCAACCTGTTAAAACCTTTCATAATATATATATATATGTATATATGTTCCCTAAAACATTACGCCGCAAATTACCTTCAAATTAAACATGTAACAGGAGATTAAAGGGAGGAGCAGCAGTGTGGGCCTCGCCTGTCTTCCTGTGTATCCACAAACAAACCACACACACACACACACACACACACATATATATATACACGTATAAATACAAACATATAGTGTTTAAACGCGCTGCCTCTCCGTGTGTGTGTGCAGGAGAAGGAGAGAGACAGGCTCAGTATTTCACCGCAGTTTCCAGTCAGCGCGCACTACGCCATGTTGGTATTTCCGAAGCGAGATTATGCAACGCAATTCTTCAAACACCCGCCCTGCGAAACACACCGAAACCCTTCAAACCCTCTCACAGAGGAGGAAACCGGAGCACAACGAGTTAAAAACGCATCTCACACACACACACACACAGCTTCTGT